GGCAGGTGCAGGCTGTGCAGGCACGGGTGCTTGCAGCCTTGCAACTGGCACAAAGTGAGTAGCCAGCCCGTGGCCCTTTAAGGGCTCCGGGGCCGGGAGGGGGGCAATAGAGTTTCGGCTTGCACCTGGCACGGGCACCGTAGCCAGCCCGTGCCCCTTTAAGGGGTCCGGGGCCGGGAGGGGGGCATAGAGTTTCCCTGGTGTTGGCCAGAGTGGCCACCAGGGAAACCTGGGAAGCCTTAGCCTCCCACTAGTTCGAACTAAAGGGCTACACAGCCCTTAGTTCGAACTAGCTAGTTCGAACTAGGCGTTAGTCCTCGTAAAATGAGGTTTACCTAGTTCGAACTAAGCGCTCCGTTAGTTCGAATTAAGTTCGAACTAACGGAGCGCTAGTGTAGCGCATAGGAAAGTTAGTTCGAACTAACGTCCGTTAGTTCGAACTAACTTTCTAGTGTAGACATACCCTCATAGAAAAAAACAGCAAATGGTCTGATAGCACTTTATAGACTAACAAAACATGTTGATGGTACCGTGAGTTTCCATGGGCACAGCCCACTTCTTCAGGTGACCGGAGTTATGAGTTTAGGATGTGCACACCCAAAATAAATAGGAGAGGAGAAGGGGAGGGGGAGGGGAAAAAAAGGAAAAGTAACTAAAAAGAAAAAAAGGTAACTGTCCATTGTAGTACCTGTGCTAATTAGGTGGGCTAATCAATTATCATGGGTCCTACAATTGACAGGTACTCTCCACCTCCCCCACCTTTTTCTGTTATAAATTCTAGGTCTTTGCTATTCGTCTCCAGCTCCTCTGCTGAAGTGGGTTGTGCCCCCGAAAGCTCATGATGCTAGATACATTTTGGTGAGTCTAAAATGTGCCACAGGACTACTTGTTGTTTTTAAAGGTCCAGACTCTCACAGTTACCCCTCTGATCACATTTTAAAAGGTTTTCTACTTTTGGATTTCACTTCCCTCCATTTTTACCACCAAGAAAAGGAGGGGGGGAGGGGGGGAGATATTTCACAAAAGTTTTGAAATGATAATTTAAAAAAAAACTTGCTGGAAAATATTTTCCCTTTTTCAGTCTGGTGTGTTCTGGGCAGGGCTTTTGACAGATCTTGTCAAACTCTGCTCCTCTGCCCTTCAGTTGAACTCCCCCATATGCTCCTGTCCAGCCGCTCTGTGGAGCAACAAGCGGTTCGAGGCCGGCTGTGGCAGCTGGCGCCCCAGGCAAAATGTGAGACCGGCGCACCCATATATAGGGCTGTCAATGGACTGACGTCATCGTCGGGCCGCCCCGGGCGGCGGCACCCTAGGCAGTGGCCAAGTCCACCTATAGCCACAGGCCACCCCTGTGTGGAGCTGACCATCTTTGGCGACTCAGATCTCTAGCCAAGTCACACACCATCTGTGCATGAATCAAAAACCACCTTCCAGGGTCACCTTTAACAGGGGTCCATCACAGTTCCCTTTGTAGTGTCCCTAGTATAATCTCTGCTCTGAATGAAAGTGCTTTTTCCACCCTCAAACATTCTGACAATAACTGGTTGCAGCTCCTTTTATAGGCCTTCCTGGCCCCTGATTGGCTGCTTCCTCTCCTGTCCCTCTAGCACAGTTGGAGGACTTCTCTGTAGTCTCTTTGGGCAGGGTGTGGCAGGATCACAAGCCTCCTACAGAGAGCCTCAGGGCCTAGTCCCACCATGTCTCACCATCCCAGTGGTGAAAGGTGCCGAGGACAATCTGCAAAGTGGCTCTGCAAAACTGCTCTGCCTTGTGCTCCTGACCGATGTCACTTGTCCCCTCTGCTTGCCTGGCTTCCCGCAGGTTCTTAACCTCGGTGTCCCAGGCTTTCTTTGTGTGAGAGGGGAAGGATTCTGCTGTCGTTTGGAACCTTCCTAGCTTAGACACCACCCTGGTGGCATGGGCTGGAGGAAGGCTCTGGGACTGTCAGGATCAGGGTTCTGATTTACCATTGACCACTCCCAGTGGCACTGGGAATGACCAAACCCAACCCCACCTACATTTTAGTAAGGGCAACAGGGTCTACATCTCCTTTGGACACACCTTCCTTTGGCTTTTTCACGATCCCCCACTGGCTCAGCCCAATGGACTCTGCTCAGAGGTCACTTCTGGATGCTGTTTCTCAACTGCCTTGTGGTTTTGCCTCTACTCTCCAGCGGGTGACTTGAGAAGGAAGAGACCTGGTGTACGTCTCTCAGCAGGACAGGAGACTCCTCTGCCGCCCAGAATGGGAGGAAGAGGCAGTCAGGGGATGATGGGCAAAAGTGTCTGGAGCCAAAGGCAAAAGTTTCAGGCTCCTTCAACATCCCAGGCCCCCTTTCCAACCAGTGACCTTTAACCCTGGCCCACAGGTGCCCTTAGCCAGGGGCCTGCCTCATTCCCCAGACAGTGAGATGGGACAGTGGGTGAGGAGGAGCTTTTTAAGTGATTAGTTTAGCATCAGATATTTATCAAAACCAGGCCCCTTTGCTTCTCAATCCCGCAGCCCTAAATAGAGACGCTGTGGCCGGAGCACGGCAGGGGGGGTGGTGCGGGGCAGGAAATGGGGAACGATAACGAGTATCAGACCCAAGAAGACAGATCACGTCAGAGGGAGGCTGCAGCGTCTCTGCAACCTGAGCCCTGCAGGTCCCATAGATCAGGGACAGGGGCTGGAGCATCCACCCTGGGGAGCAGACGGGCAGATCGGAGCAGAGAGACCAGAGCTTCCCTTCGCTGAAGTCAGACAGGGCAGTTGGTGCAGATCGGAACAGGGAGCGACATCAGATTGTCTTCTCCTGACCCCATCAAAGACAGAAGCTGCTGGGCTGTTTTCAACCTGCCATCGCCCAGATGCTCCTGTCTCTGTGCCTCTTGCTGCCTGGTGAGTACGCGGGAATCCTGGGCTAATTCGTAGCCGGTTGGAAGGAAACAAAACCGAGAGCAGCCCCTGGACCAGACTGTCAGTAAATTCCCTTTAGTGGCAAAGAAAAGGGCACCAGGGTAAACAGTGTGAGAGCTGCTGGGCCAGATGCTCAGCTGGTGTAAATCAAAGTAGTGTCACTGGAGTCAATGTAAGTTTTACACCCGCTGAGGATCTGGCTCCCTAGAGATCTGAAGGGAAAGGCGACCCCAGTCCAGCTGAGGTCTGTGTACAAGAGGGATCTGCCCTGCCCCAGATCTAACATCCTGCCTGGTTTGCTTCTGTACCAAAAAAGGAATCAGGAGTTTATTTCCCTGTCTATTACAGGCAGCCTTTGTCCCTCAGGTGGGACCACAGAAAAGGGGCAGATTTTGTCTCTAGTACTAACTACACGTCCCCTTTCTGTTCCCAGCGCTGAGTCCCAGCAGCCAGGAGATCTGCTCAGCTCCCGGTGAGTCCATCTGTCTCTCTCTGACCTGCCCATGGCATTTCCCCTCCCTCTTCATGTGTCCAGCCACCACCCCCTTTCCACTGCTCCCTGTGGTGTCAGCAGCAATGGCACAGGAAAGTGATCTGTGCTGTGTGGGATCCCAGCAGGAAGAGCAGATCTCACTGTCGACCCCTCCCTGTCCTGCTACCTCAGCTCTGCTCTGAGCTGGGGCCACTGGGACACTGGTCAGAGAGTCACCTCCACAGCCTGTTCCACCCACCTCACCCCACCCCAGGGCACAAGCCAGGGAAGCAGAGAACAACCCGGCTCTGACCCCAAGCGATTTACCTTCCCATGCCCCTCCCAGCTGCAGGTCTCTGTGCTGGAGCTTCCACCCTCCTCCCCTCCACAGGGACTCATCCTGCCCTTCATTCCTAAATGCCAGCAGCACTGTGAATAGTCAGCCCGTGGCAGTCAGGTGACATCTGAGAAGCTACAGACAGATGGGACCAAACCCCAGAGGAAGCGACTGGCCTTTCTGCATGGGCTGAGGTGTTGGCCGTGCCCTACACAGCTCTCATTTGCCAGGGTCCTACCTCACTGAGGGGCTGCCTCTTTCCCAGCTGTGCAGTCCCAGCAGGGTCAGAGGGAGCCCACACCAGGGCCCCTTGCTCCAGGAAGTGCACCGCACCAGGCAAGGGGAGCCCAGCCTATAACCCAGATGATCCCGGGGAATAAAGTTTCTGGTCCCCAGAGAGAGCTCGTCCCCTGTCTGCCCGGCTGGGCTGGGATCAGAGCCTCCACCCCAGATGTGACACAGACCCACCCGCCCTTTATCTCCTGCTCCATCAACAGCGCTGGGCACCAGCAACACCCCACTGGCAGCTCTGACCCTGTTGTATATTGGGTTGTAGATATAGATCTTGTTGTTATGGTAACTGAGTAGGTCACTGGGGTCAGCCCAGCTAGTCTAGGCTTGTTCTGGTGAGTTCTGTGCTATGCAATAAAATGGACACTTGCACCTACTCCAGCTCTCTGCCTTTCCACTGATTTCTTCCTATACTCTGAAACTCCCCACGACATAACAGACCCCTTCCCCTTTCAGGCACTCTCCCTGCCCCCATCCTCAACATGAACCAGACGTCAGCCCGGCCAGGGGAATCTGTGCTGTTCCGGTGCTCTGTGACCTCTCAGCTCCCGGCCACCCGCATCATCTTCTGCAAGGACGGGGAGGAATTTTCATCCCAGAAGGGTTCAGAGGGGAAGGTCAACTACAGCTATAAACATGTGGTGTCTGGGGGCAGCCCTGGGAATTACACCTGCTGGTACGAGTTCAAGGACATCAAAAACCAGGTGACCAGATCTGAGCTCAGCCCTGCCCAGCACCTCAGTGTCACCGGTAAGAGGTGTCCGTCTGTCTGTCTGTCCGTCTGTCTGTCTGTCTGTCTGTGTTCGAGCTCAGTTCTGCCCTGCAACTCTGCATCCCACAGAGGGGCTGAATGGCAGGTGGGGCAACAATTAAACAACCGGCCCCTGAAATATTCAAATTCTGAAATGCATTAAAAAATTCTAACAAAACAGCGTTTACCCATCTCAGCCCCAACAGCCCAGCCCAGCCCAGAGGGGGATAACAGAGCCATCCCGAGAAGGGGGGCTGGAGAAAAAACCTCCCGTCTTCAGGCCCCACTTCTGATTCATCCTTGTTCTACCCCCACCACATCCCTTCCCGCTTCCACTCGGCCCCATTGTCCACTGCCCAGAGTAATACAAGGCTGGAGATTACAGCAGGCAGGCAGCGGCAGGGATCCCCCTGCCCCTACCCCTGACCCGTGCACTCACCCTGTGGCAGGAGCCTGAGCAGCTCAGCAGTCAGCTCCACTCTACTGAACCGCACTGACCTCCCAGCCCACGGCACCTCTCTTCTCCACGGCACCTCTTTTACCTCTGGCACAGAGAAGCTGAGCGCTCTGGGCCGCGTCAGGGCAGAGGGGTGGGCAGAACAGGCTTTTGAGGCAGTTCAGGGGTTGAGATGGCTGCAATGGGACCCCGCAAAGCATGAGGCTTAGCATGGCCACGCGGAACCATCTTGTGGATGCGACAGCTCTGCAGGAGGGGGACATCACAGAAAGATCTCACTGGAAGAGACCACAAGACTCACATTTTCGTCAATAAAGTAGGAAAATACAACCTAGATGGGGCTACAATAAGGTGGGTGCATAACTGGCTGGATAATTATTCTCACAGAGTAGTTAGTAATGGTTCACAGTGATGCAGGAAGGGCATAACAATTGGGGTTCCGCACAGAGTAGTTAGTAATGGTTAACAGTGATGCAAGAAGGGTGTAACAATTGGGGTTCTGCAGGAGTGTGTTGTGGGACCGGTTGTGTTCAATATCTTCATCAACGATTTAAATATTCATGTAGGTAATACCCTGATAAAGTTTGCAGCTGATACCAAACTGGGAGGGGTTGCAAGTGCTTTGGAGGATCGGGTCATAATTCAAAATGATCTAGACAAACTGGAGAATGATGCCAATATTTTAAAAGGGCTCTAGAAATGATCCTGGCAATTACCGATCGGTAAGTCTAACATCAGTATCACATAAATTAGCTGAAACTATAGTAAAGAATAAAATTCTCAGACACATAGATGAACCCAATTTGTTAAGGAAAAGTCCACATGGTTTCTGTAAAGGGAAATCCTGCCTTACTAATCTACTAGGGTATGTCTACACTACAAAGTTAATTTGAACTAACTTAGTTCGAATTAGTTAATTCGAACTAAGCTAATTCGAATTAGCGCATCCAGACTTAAAAACTAGTCCACATTGAGTGGACCTTGAACCGAGGTTAAGGATGGCTGGAAGCAGTGCCGGCAGGGCATCAGATGAGGATTTAGAGAGTGGAGCTGCTGTCTCAGGCTAGCCGAGGGCTGTGCTTAAAGGGTCCCGACCCCCACCCCGGACAGACAGTTCTCAGGGGTTCCCCGCTTGCAAAGCAGTCCTGGCTTGGAGTGCCCGGAATACCCACATTGGGCCCCATTCCCCCCGCACCTCCTTCCACTTACCCCTCCCTAGTCCCCCTTCCTGATGTACAAAATAAAGGACACATGTGTTCAAAAATAGAAACTCTCTTTATTGAACAAAACTCGGGGAGACTGAGAAAAGGAGGTGGGAGAGGGGAAGAGAAAGGGTGGGAGAGGGGAGGGCAACTACAATGATGAGGGGTTTGAAACAGGTCCCATATGAAGAGAGGCTAAAGAGACTGGGACTTTTCAGCTTAGA